CTTAAACTAACCCTAACCCTAATTATAATTAAGAACTTCAAAATCACGTGGGTACAAGGCTTTAGCGATCCCCCAAAAATGGGTAATGCAGATCATATATAGAAATGTCGATCAAGTTGATTCTAGAAATACAGTAATGTAAATTATGATTGGCTAATTTCAGAAATTAAAGATTACACTTTTTCTTACGCGAGATGTTACAAAAATTTATTTATTAAGAATGGACTAGGAAAAACCCCTTCGGCATTATTTCGTATAGTTAAAAACTGTAGATAAGTATCATGAAAAGCCACAATTTTTGATCAAAGATGACTAATAAGAGCCAATCAAATTTCGACAAATTTTATAGAGTATTCTAGAATCGATTTGTAATGTGCCCGACTGTACTTCAGCGACAAACATTCTTTTAATTTACTTGCATTAAATTTCTGCGTATTTACTTACTACTTGCTTCATAATTCTTTTCATATGTATTAAGTAAACTAGAATAATAATAGTTCATCCTTAGAGTAAGATTTTCCAACTTCGCTCACATGATATTTTTATATTCTCAAATGTGAAATTTCTGTTATATTATATGGTTATAAATATTTTCCTTGCAATATTCCAAGATGGCTATCGTATACCTGTGACGCACATATCGTAATGTGTAAATAGACCATCAAAAAGAAATATTTACGATGTATGATATCTCACTGCATCCTGACAGATTTCTTATTAGGACCTTACTATCATCATGAAACGCAAACAATATAAATTTTTGGCAGGGTTTTGATCAGGGTAAATGAAAACCGGTACTGAATTAACAAAAAATTTTTGAGCCATTAATATAGAACCATCGTGTAATATACTACAAACCGAAACATATATTTATTTCCTGTATCAAATAAAACATTCGAAACAAAAGTCATACATCATATCAAGAATGATTTTTTTATTGTAGAGTCAGAAAAATAAAAAAAAATGTTTATACCGGTATGCCAGTTTTGTATATGCTCTATTGCGTTCTCGAAGCTGGCCAGAATGTAATGTATTCTCAGCATTACCAACTATAATTGTTACAGATAGTGGAGTCCAAACCGATAAAATTACCTGTGATCATGAAGAAAACAATCGCTGGGTTATGAACAAACTTAAAGTATTATCCCAGCATCTACTTGATTATAATAAAAGAACTTTCGAGAAGTTCATGCGAGACATAGAAAAGAAATATAAAGAACGGGTTAATGCTAATAAGAAGTTGCGATGTAAAGTTGAGGATCTGAAGTTGCAGGTGACTTATGTTAAACTTTTTTTTTAAAAAATATACGTTATTGCTAACTTATCTTGTAGGTGGGAGCTTGCTTATTTTATACTTCATATTCGTTAGGTCAGAACCTGCCAGAAAGAAAAATACACGATTAGTAATTATGTTACCCAAATCCAACGCCAGTTTTTTTCTTCGAGATTAATGTAGAACCTTACCTGGTCTCTCCCAAAAACGTGAACGGAATTCCTCAAAGTATCGTACTCCGGTTCTGGTTCTACGCCCTGCACGATTTCCTGCCATATATTGGCACATCAACTAAAGAGGATCAAGAAAATCGTTAGGCACTATCACAACCTAATTATGGTTCAATCTGTCAATAAGTGCCTTCGGTAGAAATACTTACAGTGTGATCCCTTACAAGATTTTGAAATTTACCCTTGCATTGATATCCCGTATAGTTGGTACTAAATCTCTCATTAATTATATTCGCAATATTATTCCAAAAACTCACCCTACTACTTCCAGGAATATCGTGATACTCAGCATTTCTATTTCTTCTTTCAGCAATTAATAAGTGCAATTGATCGTTGGTCTACATCACTAAGATTCTAACGTGACTCAACCGTGATACACCTGTTTTCCATAGAATTATATAGAAAAAAAATACTGCAACTCAACCGCGACTCAATAGTGATTAGTATCATTAGCTGACACAGCCAAATTAATTATCAGATAATCATGGTATAGCATCTTAAAGAAGTATGATTTTTATCACATCTCAGACCGGGTGATCCAAAATAAAAAATTTCATATGGAATAGAAATCGAAAGGGGGAGGTAAGTGGTTAGAATTACATTAAAAATTTATTAATATACGCACATTAAACAATGATCCAAAGGGTCGAGTCTCTGATTTTCTGTAACATATGGCGTAATATATAAAAATCAGATAAGTATGAAACTAATTTCGGGTTTGGTGATCAATTTATTCACGAATTAATTAGTATGAACCGGGAGAGTCAAAGACTCGATCCAAAGGATCATTACCCAATCTTCTGTTGCTCTTGATTTTATAGACTTCTTCGATTTTCTTCTTTGGTATGACATGTGATATGTATTACGAAGTAATGGCACTTACGTGCCTGATCGAACATCTGTATTACGCAATCGATTTTATTACTAGACATATCAAAAATTTCTTGGTATTTTTTATTGTATTAATAAAACAATCGGGCCTAAATGGTCATAACCACATAGTACAAAGTTTTTAATACATGCTGATGATATTGTAAATATAAAAACCTAACTAATGGATTCTACTATAATATGAATATGTCCCGTTACAGGCTTTTTATCAAAATAATTACTAACTTTATCTTGCAATTTCATGTCTTTATATGTTTTGGCTTTGGGATCGGATACTCGAATATTAAAAGAAACATTTTTAAACTCTTCTGGAAAGTGCCACTGAATTTTCGCTTTTACATAATCGATAGATTCTTTTTCGAATATGACAAGACCATACCTAAGATAGCTGGCTGGAAATCCGAAAAATCTATGGATAGGGATAACAAGAAACTCGATATTAAATTGTTTGCCCTTGTTTCCCAAATCCACAAGAGGATCATAATTCTAAGTAATACATTATTAGTAAAGACCGAGTATGAAATATGTGGAAGAGTTTTACTATATCATATACCTACTATTTTTTCTTTTTCTTCCGATATGAATAAAATGAAGGCATGATTTCACTCATATATATATATGTTTTGAGTTGGGGATTCGTATCTTTGCTATCACATATACATCATTTTGGATCGCCAGGTCCGAGATATACAATTCCGCGATGAACAATTCCGATATCTACGCATGCTGAAGAAATTAGTAAAGAAATGATTTACAAAGCCATTCTTTACTATTTTGGGAAAGCACTCGAGGAATGGTTCAATCACTACAAAAAACAATCCTAAACATACGGCTCAAGGGTTAGTTAATAATAAGGTTACTGCTATAAAGCTCTGAATTCACTTAATCTTATTGACCCCAATCTCATTAAATAAATCATAAATCTTTTGGGCCCGCTCTTTCGTTTTTCGAAGCAAACTCTGGCTAACCGATAGAAGTTGAATTCTAACCTCCGTAACAACTCTCAAAATACTGGGGCACGAATCAGGGAGTGTACGAAGCAGCAGCAAAAAGACAAGGTTGGATAGTTTATTAAACAGACTAAGGTGAGAGATACATTTCCTATTCCCTCTTTTATTTACCATGCTAACCCGCCCCTATTACTAATTACCAATATGATTCTATCTTAATGACTTCATTTTTCATACAACGATAATACTAACATTCTTATGACTACATTTTTTATGCAGCGATAATACTGATTATTAATCTAACTACGCATAATGGATAACACTAATAATGAAAGTACTTCTATGTGCTCGACATTTTAATTATTGTATGCTGAGTTGTCTTTTGTATCGCTAGTTATTATTATTTTTGGCAAAAGTGATCGGTATAACAATTTGTCACGCATATATAATTTTTATTCACATGAGAAAAAATAAATTGTGATATTCATTAGTATATAGTTAATAAAATCTGT